TTTTTTTTTTCCCTCTCTTCTCTAGAGCTTTCTAATGTCAATATGTATAATTTTGATTTGATTTTCTAATTTATGTTTAAAAGTAAAAGTTAAATGTATATTTTTTAACAATAATTAATATTAAAAATTAATTTTTATTTTAATTAATTATTTAATTAAATTAATTCACATAACACCAACAATAAATTTCTAACAAAAAAAAATTTTACCTTTGCACTAAATAAGTCTTATTTACACACAAGAAGAAGAAATTGATAGGTTTTAGTTACTTGCAAACTGGTGTTATTTATACAAATAATAAATAAAATTTTACCTTTAGAAGTAATAAACATGCCTTATTAAAATTATTTATAACCGAACAACATCGAAGATGTTCGAACTAGCAATTTTTCAGGGCGTAATAAAGGTCACATCATTTTTTTTTAATTATTATTATTGGCAATGTCACATCCTCCCGGCCTAGGCAAAAGATGGCATTTCTTCACGGATCCTCTAGCGCAAGTTGCCTCTAGAATTTCCAACGATTTGTTGGGTGGGAAGCCTCGACAAAAGGTATTCGTTTACTTTTTAACTTTTTTAATTTGACACATTTTATTCATTATATTATAATATATGATTTTTCACTTTTAATGTTTTTGAGTTTAGAAAAATAAAGTAAAATTTAACGTCGAAAAATCACGTGTGGCTCGAGTATCATGAATCTTTGTTATACCTTGACGTATCAATGCCAACTCAAATTCTTTTACATGTTGACAAGTCCAGCTTGCACCCTTTGTGAGTTGGAATTCTACCTCAACAATTTAATTTTTTTTTTTTTCATTCCTCACTTTCCTCTTCTCTTTCTTCAACTTTTTTTTCAACTTTTGCAAATCTCTATCATCTCAACCAATCTATTTACTCAATCAACCATGGGTTTGAAGGAGCCCAATGTGTGGGTTCAATGAAACCCTCAACTTTTGCTAATCTCTAACATCTCAACCAATCTCTACTTTCTGGGTTCTTCATCATCAAACAACAAAACCCACAGAAAATTTAAATTTTTTGTCATTGGGTTCCATCGAACCTAGGCGTGCTGGGTTCGGAGGAACCCAGTACTTGGGTCCCGAGGCACTGGGTTCCAAAGAACCCAGGCGTGGATCGATGGGAACTCTCAACTTCTGCAAATCTCTAACTCAACCAATCTATTCACCTCAATAAATCTCTACCTTTGCTGGTTTTTCATCACCATCAAAAAAACAAAATCCACAGAAAGCTAAAAATTAAAAAGGAAAATTTTTTAAAATTTTTTGCCATGGGATTACATAGAACCCACGCCTGGGTTCCAACAAACCCAGGCGTGGGTTCCATGGAACCTGGTGCTAGGGTTCCGTCATGGAACCTAGGCTTGGGTTCCGTCATGGAACCTAGGCTTGGGTTCGACGGAACCCCAGCACCAGGTTCCATGAAAGGCTTCTATTTGCTGATGAATTCTGTTGGGTTCCAAGGGAGAGAAAAAAGAAAAGAGAAAGAAAAAAAATAAGAAAGCAATTTTTATTTTTTTTATCATATTATTATTTTTCTTATGTCATTATCATAAAGTCCAAGTTGGACTTGCCAATATGTAAAAAAATTTGAGTTGGCATTAACACGTCAAGGTATAATGAAGATTAACGATGCACGTGCCGCACAAAACTTTTCGACGTTAAATTTTACCTTATTTCCCTAGACTCGAAAACATTAAAGGTAAAAAATCATATATTGTAATATGAGAGATAAAATGCCTCAAATTCAAAAAGTTAAAGAGCAAACGGATACCTTTTACCAGTAAGCCTCTAAAATAATCAATGCACAAAAGCACAACTTGTTGGACCAAATATTTTTTTAATATATTTTTTTAAAAAATTAAAATTAAAATATTTTGACACTTTAAATATTAAAATTTTTATAAAATTATTTAAATATCATTAATTAAACTTTTTATATATTAATTTATTAAAAATATTTTAATTTTTTTCATTATCAATGAGGGCAAAGGTAAAAAATTAAGTGGGAGGAGGCAATTTTTTTTAACACTTTAAGACTTAAATATCTTTTATGATATTAATTAATTTAAAAAAATTAATTTTTATTGTTTTTTCCAATATATCTTCTTAGAATCTTAACGAAATTGAGAAATTAATATATTTTCTTGATTCAACATCTTTAATCATTTTTATTAAGTGAATCGTTTTGTTAAAATAAAAAACAATGCCTTACTATGATAATACTTAAATGATGGGTTAACTAATTTAAATAACTTTAAAATCTTACTTTTTTCATCCTCAAATGTCTATCTTTTTTTTTACTTATTTGTTTATTAAAATTTTATCTTTTCTCATCCCAAAGAACTAAATAATATAAAAGAGATAGCATATAATTCAATACTTATAAATTAAAAACCTTTACTAAATAAAGAGTTAAACATTTTTATCAATTAAAGTTTTTGTTAATTAAATTACTTTTTAAAATAATAAAAATTTTAAAAAAAATAGAATCTTAAAACAATTTAAAAACTTAAAGGGAGAAAGTATTTAAATTTGTGTTTAATTAAAATCCTTTGATTCTTACATTATTGAATATGTAGAAATTCATTTATTTAGATTATAATATTGTTATCTTTTGCAAAATATTTAATTAAGTCTTAATGTTCTTTTTGTATTTAAAATGGTAATTATAATAAAATATTATAAATTATGTTAGTTTTGAGTTATTAAGTATAAAATAATATAAATACTTAAATGATAACAATTTAAATTTCCACATTATAAATATAATATTTAAACACTTAAAAAGACAAAAAAATGATTTATAACTAATTTTGAAAATTTTCAAAAGTTGAGGGGGTGACCACCCCTCACACCCCTCCTTTCGCCTTGATTATCAATTTTTTACATTTTAAATAGAAAAGGTTGAAAGTTGACATTCTTAACTAGAAAATGTTGAAAGTTGATATCTTTTTTTAGAAACTGACAAAGTTTACATCTTTATTTAGAAAAAAATTGAAAGTTGACATCCTTATTTAGAAACTGACAAAATTAACATCCTTAAATAAAAAAAAGTGCAAAGTTAAAATCCTTATTTACACCTTTACTCAGAAAACTTAGACGCCATGGTCAAAGCTTTATACACCTTTAAGTGGGAAAAAGGGGGTAGTGGTAGCCACTTTTCCACATCGTTGTGGCAAACAAGGATTTCGACATCTTAAATTTTCTAAATTGGTCCCTTTCGTAAGTTGATTCATTCAAGTATTTAAGTTTTTCTAATGTAATTTTTGGCAATTTAATTATTAAAACACCCTTTTTTTTTTTTATTCCTTTGAGTGGGAAAAGGGGTAGCAGTAGCCCCTTGTCCACATACCTGGGGCGAAGAAGGATCTCACCATTTTAAATGTT